TGCGATGAGGACTAGTAAGACAACAGGTGTATTGGGTATAAAAGAAACACAGTCTTTTTTCTTTTCTTTTTCTCTTTCTTTTCTTTTGGTACTGGGAATCCATCTTATAACCTCACTCTTGCAGGGCAAGCACCATGCCCCTGAGCTGTACCCCTGCAACACAGTACAGAGGAACATAAGTCAGTGTGAAGGCCCTGGGTTCAGTTTTTGAGGGTGTATTTGGGGGATCAAAGTGTTCTTTAAATCAACTAAAACACTTGTGTAATTGGGAGGGACAAATATAAAGCAAGAGCAGACACTCATGACTATAAAGAGTGATATATAATTTTATGGCCTGCTCTCTCCCTGTTGTAGTTGATGAAATTTAGGAAGATTTCTCTGGATTTGTTTGTTCACAGACCAACATACCTGCATAAACAGAGACCTGACAGCTTTCTGCATACTGTACTCCGTAGAACAGGCCGTATGTTTTCTGTACTATATGCGACAATGTTTTGCTTAGGTTGCCTTCCCTTTAGTGAAAGGGCCTAGATTTTACTCTTCCTCCCACCCCCAGAAACATGTCTCTAGACTTCCCATGAAGATCTTTCATGGATCCACAAGATAGAACCAGATCCACCGGAGTGAATGACCCCTACCTTGGGAAACCCATCCGTTAGTGAGGACGTGTGTTTTCAGCTTGTTCAGAACTACTGTAGGCATTCTGAGTTTCCTAAGACACAGATCTGGCTTCAAATATAGATTTGTTTTTCCATAGTATAAAGCTGAAAGTGATCTTTTTTTTTTCTTAGTAACTTGTAAGTCACTTCTTCTCCCAGGTGTCTCATTTCTGGCAGGGGGAAGATAACATGAATGTTGTTCTGAATGCTACAGCATGGAATTACCAGGTCATAAGCTCTGTTAACCACTCATACCTGTGTGAGAGAAATCAGACCTTAAAGAGGTACTTAGGACCAGTTTTACCAGAACTAGTTGCCTGGTTTCATGTGGCTCCTTGGACTAAGCAGGGATGTGTCCTTGGGCCAGTGAATTGATTTCCCTATGTGTAAAATGGGGATAATAACAGTGTTTGCTTAGCAGCATTGTTCTGAGGATCAAAGGAATTAATACACAAGGTATGAACAGTGCCTGGCATACAGACCATTCACAGTGAAGATCAGCTTTTATCTTTCCCTTCCTCCTTCTCTGTAGCTAGAATAACATTAAGTCTTCTGTGTACATATTGCTCCAAAATAAACAGCCTCTCTGCAAGGTACACAGAGGACAGACCTTGTAAGCAGCATCCCTAGACCTTTTTCTCTTTCTGCTGTGATGTGAAAGTTGCAAGGTGTGTAGCTCTGGAGGGATGAGGTGTCATATTCAGCTTGTTTCTTGGCTGCCAGGGTGGATTAGGTAGCCCATGTTCACCAGCTGCCCCTGGCCTGAGGTTGGCACAGTAGGCAGTGCAGTAGACCTAAGTTGGTAGAGAAGCCATGGGCCCATTCAGTTGTGCCTCAGTTTCTCCTTCCCTTACGGACAGTGTTTCAGTAAAGGGACAGCACGTAACAGTGTACTAGGACTTGTTCTTAAGTCTCCCGTTTTGTTTCTCTCTCACTCTCAAGTTTTTTCTATTCTGGATTTCAGAAAATAGTTCAGTTGCCGAAATTGGCCAAAAGAGCTACTTTTAAAATTAGTCAAGTGATAAAAAAAAAAGTTCGTCAAATGACATAAAATATTGCTTTGCTAGAGTGGCTCTAACAGTTTCCCCTTTATAGAAGCATCCTTTAAAGACAGTGTTTTGACAAAAGGAAGGATTTATAAATTCACAGGAGGAGAATTTCTTTTGCCATCCACACTCTGGAAGATCCATATGTGTATAAATCTCCTCCCTTCCTAAATCATAGGATCAAGATAAATCAAGATATGGATCATCATCAAATAATCTTTTTTATTTTTTTATTATAAGCTCTTTTTAAAAAAAATTATTTGTGTGTGTGTGTGTGTGTGTGTGGCCAGCTCAACCCACCAGGGGGCGGGGCTGGCTGGCATGTGGTGCTGGGGGATTGAACCGCAGTCCCTGTGCTTTGCTAAACTTGTTCTAAGTAGGTGCTTTAGACCACTGAGCCATCTCACCAGCCCCATCAAATAATCTTACATATAAGATACTTATATGAAAATCTTACACTTTGGAGATATCTGAAAGATCAACGATTAACATGTAGTGTTATTTCTCACGTCAACACTGAAGTCTTCCTTGGGCTATGGGGACAGTCCTGTGTGGATGGCCTCAGGTTTTAACCTTAGCTATTTAATTTAAAGTTGGTCCAGTAGCTCATGTTTATGGATAAATGAGCAAAACAGTAGAGATCAAAAGCAAAAAATAAAATTACTATGGAATTCAGCATTGCAGAAGCCAGAGCCCTGGAAATGTTAGTGAAGTGTGGCGTTCAGAATGAAAGGCCCCACTTATGATAATGCGCCTAACAAGGAAATGAGATTGACACAGCAATTCTCTGTTTCTGTCGTCCCCTGAGGTTAGAGATTATGCAGTGCATGTTTCTGTTTTTAGCTTCTTTGGTAATTCCTATGGTGAGAGACTACACTCTGCATATTTGTCATGGTTGCACTTCTGTCGAGTGCCCGGGTCTTTGAGGTAAAACAGAATATGCTGTTTTCCCCAAGCTCTGAGCTCATGTTCTGCCCACCCCAGTGGATACCCAGAGCTCCCTTCCCCAGGCTGATTTCTTTATCTATACTTAGTTGCCAGGGAATTCCACAGGGGAAACATGAGTCTATCTCAACAATGGTTGTTGCTGGGTGAAATGTTATTTAAGTGGGTCCCAGTGACAGAGCTTTACATTCCTTATTTGAAGCCTCATTGTAACCCTGAGGCCTTTCAACACCAATCAAAGGTAAATGGAGAACAGGAAGATCAGCATATAGTTGAATAAAAAATAAACGAGTTAAGCTACTTTTATGACAAAGGAATATGGGTTTGGATTCATCCCCTTTTTGGCAATGGTTATTATAGCTGAGTCCTTCAGTAGAAGTGTCCTTGAACTCAACTGTAGTAGGGTACTCCAGAGAAAAAGAGCATCAATAGGTAGGTAAACAGGTACATAAGAGATAGATAGATGTACTTTTTTTTTTTTTTTTTGGTGGTACTGGGGATTGAACTCAGGACCTTGGGCTTGCCAGGCAGGCGCTTATGCCCTTGAGCTACCTCCCCAGCCCTAGATGTACGTTCTTAATATGAAATCAGTTCACATAATATGGAAGCTGAGAAATCTTATGATCTGTTGTATGCAAGCGGAGCACAGAGACTTTAGAGAGCTGGTAGTGGACTTCTAATTTGAATCTAAAGCCAGAGTACCAGGAATACCAGTGTTGAAAGTTTCAGTCCAAGTATGAGAGGTCTGAGAAACAGGAGAGCTACTGCTGTAGGTTCCAGTTCAGATGTGGAAGAAGTGGATGTCCCTGTGTAGGAGGAGGCAGAGGGGGCAAACTTTTCTTTCCCGTTATTCTCTTCCCACTCCAATGGATTGGAGGAAGCTCATGGACATTAGAAAGGACAATGTGCTTTTCTTAGTCCGTGGATTGAAATAATTTCACCTTCAGGGAAACACTCTCACAGACACAACCAGAATGCTTAACTAAATAACTGGCCATCTGTGCCCAGTCAGGGTGACATATAAAATGAACCACATATATACTCAGACTATAAGTTTAAGGAGAAAAAGGAACGTATTGACTGGTATATGTGGAGAAGTACAGTGGAAGAGAATCACTACAATATTCAAAGTTATAACAGTTGGAGCCAAGGACTCGGTACTGGCAAGATTCCTTTTCTCCCAATCCTCTTGTTATTCCTGGCTGTTGGTTTCCTTTGAGAATGAGTCTCATTCTGTCCTTCTACAGATTGATCCTGACTATATACCAGGACACATGATCACCCTAAGCCCCAGATTAATATACTAGCAAGCAAAGGACTTATATACAAATCTCATTAAAGGGATATTCTCTACTTTGGGACATATGCTCAGTTTTTATACCACTTAGCCAAAAGACAGATATTATTATTTGTTAACTTAGCTCTAATGCGTACCACTGTAGCTAGTGCTGAGTGTTCCCAGGACAAAAAGATGTCAGGGTACCATCAGAGATATCACAGTCCACCCCTTGTCTGCCATTCATATACATACAAGCCCAAGAAGGTACTCACTATCTGTTTGATCAAAACACATCCACGCAGTTCTTATAAGAGAAGCAGCCTACTTGTCACATTGTTACTGGTTCCAAGGACAACATTTCTGGGTGATGACTTTTCCTCTTGGTCAAGTTCAAAGGTGACTTTTTATGATGTGACATCCTGTGATTGATCATCTCCAAAACATCAAGTGTAGGATTTTGGAAGTAAAAGGGATATATGCAATGAAGATTCCTAGCTATTAAAAAGGAAAAATGGAAAGCAAAATGTAACCCCTAGTCCTTAGCCTGTTTTGTATTCTCCTAGACAAGGATAGCAGTGAGTCCTTGCTCTAGTAAATCTGGTCCAAAAATCTGGTCACTTGATCTGAAGTGGCATTATTGGCAAGTTTATGATGAAATATAAGCAGGGAGAATATAGTATGTTTTCTTGAGGAGAAAACAGGTTCTGATCCCTAAAGCTCATGCTATTCTTTAGTCATTTTGTTTAGGGGCTGGGTGAAGTGCTGGCTATACATATTCCAGCACCCAAGCCAGGCTTTCCATCTACCAGTGACTCAGGAACCATTCCCACACATAGGTAATTTCAATGATAAAACATTATATTTTAGAGACTTTCTGTTTCATGTGAACCATTTGCCTTAGAAATCTTCCCATGATATAATACATATTTCCTTGCCTTTTTTTTTTTTTTAACCTTCTGCAAAGCTTTATTCCAGAGAGACTCGGTCCTTCTTGGCAGCTGCCTTCCTCATGGCAGCCAACACATTGCTCAGCTCCTTGCACTTCCTCTTGGTGCAGAGGTGTGTCCCTACCCTTTTCTTGATGAACTTGAGGGCACGCTTGTCTTTGGAGACCTTGAGCAGCTCCATGGTGCGCTGCTCATATGGGGTGAAGCCGCACACCTCCCAGATCATGTCCTGCACGAACTTGGTGTGTTTGGTGAGACATCCGGGATGGTGGCTGTGCCTTGGTTTGCTCACATTTTTAGTCACCTCGTGGCCCTTGTTGAGGCTCATGGTCATGCGAGAGCGGAGGGCCATGGCTGCTGTTCTTTGATGGTTGCTGTGGTGGAATTTCCTTGCCTTTTAAAGTAACTTAGTAATCTATGTTCATTATGCAAAGGGAAAAAATACAGATGAATAATAAAAATATTACCCAAAATATGACTTCTTTTTTTCTGTGCCTCTTTAATATACAATAATGGCTGGCTTACAGGAGAGGGCAGGGCATTGGCTTTACAGTGTGGAGCATCGTGTACACATTATCTTGCTTAGTCAGGATTACTAACAAGGAACTCAGGAATGTGGTCTCGACTGAGGACTTAGCCCTTTGCACTGCCCAAACCTTCCTTTTGTCTCTCTCTTCATCACTCTTCAGGGTTCTTCCCTGAAAATAGACACTCTCTTCCTCCAGCTTTCTCTTCTTTCTCTGTGACAGGAACTTCTGATGTCTTGTGTTTGCAGTTTTGCGAAGTTTCTTGAACACTTTGATAAGTCACGGAGCCAATGGGATCTAATGCATGAAACTTGACTTCTAAAATGTCCAAGACCAAGGACCATCATTGAGCAAAAGCGAGCACTCAGATCCTGTGGACAGAGCACAGCTCTGCTTGGGAAAGTTATCCTTGGTTCTTTCATGAGGCGTGAAATGTAGGATTTGGGTCAGGCAGAGCCCTTGTGTTTCTTTCATTCTTCCCTCTTCATCTTTCTCTGGGCCACTGAACCTCCAGACTCCTGACTGGATCAAAACTGAGTTCTGAATACGGTACAGAAACTATGGACTCTGACACATGTAATTACTTGACTTATTGTGAAGAGACAACTATATTCCATTTTCATTGTCTTGTTATCTCTGTAGTATATTTTAGATGACAGGAGTCTGTTTTGTGCATTTTTGTAAAATGATCTCTTAGCCCAGTTTTGAAAATCTCAGTGGGAATGTTGAGAGTAAGTTGAATAGGATGAGTAGGAATGGTTTGGAACTTTAATCTTCATCTTTTTCTTCTTGTGCATGTGGCTTCAGATGAAATCTAATCCAGCACCTATAATATACCTGCCAGAGTTTATTAAAAATCATGTCACTTTTCTGCTTAGAGTTGACAGTAGCCTGCCCCCACCGCTGCCAAGGCCCCAGAATGCCTGCAGAGGACTTCTTAATCCAACTCACTTTCCCACCTGTCCATGCTCAGCCTCCTGAACTCGCCCTCCTCCGTCCACTCCAGTCTTGCTCTTTCTGGGCACTTGAGAAGCAGCCTTATTTCAGGGTCTTCACATTTGCTGTTTCGTCCACCGGGAGCTCTCCCTTTGTATCCCTAAGTAAAAGATCCCAATGTCACCCTCTTGGTGGCACCTTTCTTCCTGCCCCCTACACCACAGGTTTCCCTGCTGTTTTTCCCTTCCCTGCTTTTCCTACAGCTTTCGCCACTTTCTCACATCCTGCCTGCCTATTCCCAGTGTGTGTGATTGGCCTCTCATCCCCGAGTGTAAACTGTGGGAGCAGAGAGCTTTGCTCACTGCAGCATCCCAAGCACCTCGAGCAGGGCCTGGCTCACTATTTGTCAAAGAGGATCAGACAGTTTCTCTAGAGACTAAATGACGAACACCAAAGCCCCTTCTCTTTATAAATATAGATACCTGCTCACTAAAGGAGTACAAAACCTTTTGTAAATTGCTGTAAAATAAAATCTGTTTGCTTCTTGATTTTCACTGTGGAATCCAATGTGGACCTTTTCATGGGAAAAAAATTCCTAGAAGATTAAACAAGGATTAGGAAAACTTCCAGGCCTGTGTCACTCTGGGCACCAAGGCTTTGGTTGCTTGCTGCCTTGGCATTCATGTATCAGTTCTCCTGCCTCAGTGACACTTGCAGCCAATAATGGTAAGTCTAATGCTGGTTCTCAAGGAGGATTTCTTGATGCTGTTATAGTTCCCTAACTCCACATTCACAGTGTTCTGAGCTCTCCTGTTTTTTCCTTATCCTAGTGCCTCATGTACAAAGGTATTACCCAAAGGTTACCATCACTATATAGATAGAAATGAAGTCACAACATTAGAAATTCAGATTTTGTGATCGTGTTTTCACTTACCCTGCAGCCTTTCTTGCCCTGGAAACACCTCAAGTCACAAATGTGTTTTAGAGTCCTAAAGTTAAACCCCACAACCTGAATAGCAGCTGTTGACTCCACTTAGTGACCGTCATGCTCTTTGCCTCCTGCTTTGCTCCTTCTCAGCTAACATCGTCGACCAAAACTGCTTGGAAGTTCACAGCATCATCCGTGGTGGTGTCCATTGGAAGTGCACCATGATGTCAGGAAGGCTGCCTCCTAATGCTTGCAAAGCTGCCGATTCCTCGGCTAAGTTCTAAGTGAAGTGACTCAGCACCAGGAGTATTGCTGCATTTGGTCTTCTAGACATTAAAAATACCTGCTTGGCCTTTTTCTTTTGTTTTTTAAAATTGTCTGTTTAAAGCTTTGGAATGACCATTGACCTGTTTTCTACTTTTCCTACCAGTATTTCAAAAATATTAAGGTTAGTTTTGCTCAGAGCCTCACCAAAGTCCACAGGCTTCCTAACCCTGCAGGTATTCCTTCAAGGCTCTAGTTATCCCATGAGGGAGGACGGAAGCTACAGCCTTTAAAAAAATGCTCTAGGTCTCATTTCAAGGTTCACCTTTTTTTTTTCCTTGTGGAGTAGAACCTTTTACCCTAACAGAGCTGGGCTTTCACAAATATCCTTAATAGCATCATTACACATTTCAGGTTGCATTTTGTTCATTTCTTTATTCACCACACTGAACACTTACTTCATGTGAGCTGATAAGACTACAACAGTGATCAAAAGACCACCTGAAGCTCACCTACAGTCTGGTAGGAGAGACAGATACAGAAAGATAAAAGCATACTGATTGCAGAGGAGGTAACAACACTGAAGAGAGTCCATTCTTTCTGGGAGGGCCAGGGGAAAGCCTCCTGGGCATGGGAGGGGAGGCAGAGACAGCCTCCCAGAGGCCCTGACAGGGAGAGCACCTGAGATTCACAGGATGAGTAGGAGTTGTCCAGGAGCAGGGGAGAAAAGTGCTTCGGACAGAGGAAACAATTTAAAGCAGCTCTTAAGATCTAGGATTTAAAACATATCAAGCTCTAATTTATCAGTAATGGAACAGAAGTCTCCAGCATGTTAACTTTAGATTAAATATGAGTTAAAGCAATGTCAGAATAACTCATCTTATTAGGGTGACTTGGGCTGCATTTCTTAAGTCTTGTTGCCTCCTGTGGTAAACCTCTAATTGAGTGAACATTAATGAAAATGCTAAGATACTTGCTTGAGTGATTTTTTTTTTAGGGGGTATAGTTTTATTTTGTTTATTTAAATCTTTTTCTTGGATTAAATCTCTAAGTGTATTTTCAAAGTGGGCCTCAGCTTTGTGCTTTGATATACTGGGGAAGCCCATGGAAAGTCCCTAGGTGCAAAAATGAGGGAAATCCTTAGGTCCTGAGCTACAAGTAAAGGAAGAAAGAATGTTACATAAGAATGGCATGGCAAGAATTAAGGACAGAGATACTGTGCATCAGGCCTAGGAGACACAGTTTGATGATGATAGGCACAGTTAATACTCTTATGTGGGCATAAACTGTTTTTGGATGACTATAAACAAATTCCATTTACTAGGTAGGTGATGAGCAGCACACATTTATTTCTCACAGTTCTGCAGGTTGGGGAGTTCACTGTCAAAGCAGTAGTAGACTCCAAGGCCCATCTCTGGCTTATAGATGAGCCCTACTCACTGTGGCCTCACTGATGGAAGGGGCTAGCTAGTTCAAGCGCGTGATCCTGCCATCTTCTGAAGATCCCCCTTCATTATTGTCATATCCGGGGATAGGGTTTTAAGACATGAATTTTGTGAAGAAAGGACCAGACAGACATGCTGTAGCATGATATGCCTTGGCAGGGCATGGGTAGAAGGAAGAAGCCAGTGACCTCAATTGTACAAAGGTCTTTGGAAGTGGTAGTGGCTTTATACTTTGTGGACCATAGTGTTGGTGGATGCTGGGAAGACACATCCAGTAGCAGCCTATGGCTGTCATTCACACTTCCCTTTTCGGTGCCTCGTGAAATCTGAGACTAAAAATAATCTGTATCCATGAGATTCATCTCCACTATCCATACACCTATTTAAATCTGAAATATTCTCCAAAAGTCTTATGTGTTTGGAAGGTGGCTGGCTCGTGGGGGCTAACTACCAATCAATCAGTGGATTCATGGATTGATGAGATGAATTCAGTAGCTAAATATGCTGTTAGGAAGTAGGTCCTGGATGCAGGTGAATCACTAGGGGCTAGAAGGATTGTTGTTCTAGACTCTTCTCTCTCTTTCTCTGCTTCCTGGCTACTGTGGGTTGAACAACTTTCCTTTACTACACCCATCCATGTTGCCATTTCTGCCTGAAGTCAGCTGAACCTGACTGAGCCAAAATAAACTTCTCATCCTTTAATCTGTCAGTGCTGGAAGTTGTTGCATCAATTCCCAGTGATGGAAGCTGACTAATACAGATTTGGTATCATCATGTGAACTGTTTAAATTAATATGCAGCATAGATATATTTGATTATCCTACTTTGCTACTTACTAGATGTAAGAAATTTACTGACTCTGTGTACAATACTTTTGAAATTTTTTTTCCATTGTTTTTTTTTTTTTTCTTTTTGGAACTGGGGATTGAACTCAGGCCCTTGCACTTGCCAGGCAAGTGCTTATTCTACTGAGCAATCTCCCTGGCCCCAAGAATATTTTTTGAAGAATAAAAAAATATAATAATGCCACCTGGTTGTTCTTAATATCTGTGGACAATGTAGTACAGAAAAATAATGAGTTTAAAGATTCAAAATCAAAGCTCCCGACACACGTAAACAATCCAAA